TCATGGATTTCAGGAAGGAGGTCCCTTGGGTGTTGGGGGTCCCTGTGTGTTGTTGGCTTTAGGGTGCCACGTGGATTTGTAGTGTTGGGCGAGGGGGGGGGTCCCTAAGCCATGTGTTCCTGGTTTTGGGGTTTTCCGTGGGTTCTGTAAGTCCAGCTTTGGGGAGGGACATGGGTAAAAACGGATATTGGGGGTCCTTATGGGTTCCTGGTTTTCGGGAGCCCCATAAACCTGGTTTTGGGGGCCCTGGCATCAGTAAGGAGATCTTCATGGGGATCCCTGTCAGTTCTTTGTGTCAGGCTCCCCCCACCCCCCAAATTCTGGGTGCTGAGGGGGCTGGGGGGGGTCTCCATTGGGTTCTTGATCTTAGCAGAGCCCCTCTTTGAGCTGCCCACATTTCAGGTGCACACATTTTAGGTGCCCACCTTTTGGGTGCCTGCATTTCCAACACCTCCCACCCAAGAAGCCCCACGGGGTGCACTTAGGGGGCACCATCCTCACCCCCCCTCCTCTCCCCCGGTGCCCCCCACCCCATAGCTCCTACCCTGACGAGGAGGGCCCCAAGCACTGGTCCAGCTCCCGCTATGAGCACGTGATGAAGCTGAGGCAGGCAGCCCTGCAGTCGGCGCGGGACATGTGGGCTGATTACCTGCTGGTATGGGTTAATGGGGAGGGGGCGAGCGGGGCTGGGGGAGTTCTATGGGATGGCTGCTGCCTTCAAAAGTGCTCAGTGCATCACTGAGGTGTTTGGGGCCAAAGTGGGGTTGGTTTGTTCTCGGGGCACCTGGTTGTTGGTTGTTCTTCAGTGGGTTTGGGGTGGGGGGCACCTGGAGTTGCCTCCATCCCCTTCCCCACTTTGAAATGGTGCAGGATGGGGGGGTGGGCGCTGCAGGATTTCCCTCTTTGCAGTTCCTGGATGCTGACAACGTCCTGACCAACCCCGACACGCTGGGGCTGCTGATGGCAGAGAACAAAACGGTGGTGGCACCCATGCTGGACTCACGTGCTGCCTACTCCAACTTCTGGTGTGGGATGACAGCTCAGGTACGGGGATCTGCTTCACATCACGCTGCTTCCTCGTCCACTTCCCCTCCTTGAGGCAGATTTCCTTGTCCACTTCCCCTTCTTGGGGCAGTTTTCCTCATCTCCTTCCCCTCCTTGGGCAGTTTTCTTTGTCTGCTTCCCCTCCTTGGGGCGGATTTCTTCCTCTTCCCCTCCTCAGGGTGGATTTCCTCATCCCGCTCCCATCCTCAGGGCAGTTTTCCTCATCCACTTCCCCTCCTTGGGGCAGTTTTCTTTGTCTGCTTCCCCTCTCCTCCTCTTTCCGTCCTTAAGGTGAATTTTCTCATTCCCTTTCCCTCCTTGAGGTGAATTTCCACTGTCCATTTCCCCTCCTTGGGATGATTTCCTGATCCTCTTCTTTTCCAGGCAATTTCCTCATTCCCTTCCCTTCTTTCCATTGCTTTCCCTCCTTGGGAGAGTTTTCCTCATCTGCTTCCCCTTCTTGGAGCAGTTTTCTTCGTCTGCTTCCCCTCTTCTTCTCTTCTCCTCCTCAGGGTAGATTTCCTCATCCTCTTTCTCTCCTTGAGGTGAATTTCCTCGCCTGCTTCCCCTCCTCCAGGCAGTTTCCTCACTCTCTTCCCTTCCTCAAGGGGGAACTCCTCATCCAGTTCCCCTCCTTGGGGCAGATCTCTTCCCCTTCCCCTCCTCAGAATGAATTTCCTCCTCCCTTTCCCCTCCCCAGGGCAGTTTTCTTCGTCCACTTCCCCTTCTCAGGGCGGATCTCCTTATCCGCTTTCCCTCCTCAAAGTGGATCTTCTTGTCCACTTCCCCTCTCGGGGGTGATTTCCTGATCCACTTCCCCTCCTCGATGCAGTTTTCCTCATCTGCTTCCCTTCCTCGGGGGTGATTTCCTCATCTGCTTCCCCTCCTCCAGGCAATCTCCTTGTTTACTTCCCCTCCTTGGGGTGGATTTCCTCATCCCCTTTCCTTCCTCGAGGTGGATTTCCTCGTCCTCTTCCCCTCCTCAGAGCAGATCTCATCCACTTCCATTCCTTGGGGAAGCTTTCCTATTTGCTTCCCCTCCTTGGGGGTGATTTCCTCATCCACTTCCCCTCCTCCAGGCAATATCCTCATCCACTTCCCCTCCTCAAGGCGGATCTCCTCATCCCCCTCCCCTCCTGGGGGTGATTTCCTCATCCTCATCCCACCTCAGGGCGGATCTCCTCATCTCCTTCCCTTCCTGGCGTTGTTTCTTTGCCATGGAATGATGTCCCTCATACGTCCACTCCTCCTCTTCTTCCTCCCTTGGCTCTTTCTGCTCCTGGTGGTTTTTCTCCCCTGGCTGCTTCTGCTCCTTGCATTATTTCTTGGCCATCAGATGATGTTCCAGCTACAAGCAGGCAGTTCTGCTCTCTGTATTTCTCTCCTCTGGCTGCTTCTCCTCCCTACGTTATTTCCTGGCCGTCAGATGATGTTCCAGCTACAAGCAGGCAGTTCTGCTCCTCATGTTTCTCTCTCTTGGCTGCTTCTGCTCCTTGCATTTGTTCTTGACTGCAGGATAACATCCCAAGCAGGCAGTTCTGCTCCTCATGTGTCTTCTCTCCTGGCTGCTTCTCCTCCCTACGTTATTTCCTGGCCATCAGATGATGTTCCAGCTACAAGCAGACAGTTCTACTCCTTATGTTCCACTCCCTGGCTGCTGCTGCTCCCTGTGTTATTTCTTGGCTATGGAGCAACATCCCAGCAACAAGCAGGCAGTTCTTCTCCTCGTGTGTCTTCTCCTCTGGCTGCCGCTGCTCCTTGCATTATTTCCTGGCCATCAGATGATGTTCCAGCTACATGCAGGCAGTTCTCCTCCTCGTGTTCCTCTCCCTTGGCTGCTTCTGCTCCTTTCATTATTTCCTGGCTGCAGGACAACGTCCCAGCTACAAGCAGGCAGTTCTCCTCCTTGTGTTCCAACTCTTCTGGCTGCTTCTGCTCCTTGCATTTGTTCTTGGCTGCATGACAACATCCCAGCTACCAGCAGGCAGTTCTGCTCCTCCTGTTCCTTCTCCCCTGGCTGCTGTTGCTCCTTGCATTATTTCTTTGCCATAGGATGAGCTCCCAGCTGCAAACAGACAGTTCTACTCCTCGTGTTCCTTCTCTCCTGGCATCTTCTGCTCCCCGTGCTGTTTCTTTGCCCCAGGATGACACTCTGTGCCCCCCATCACCTCCCATCGGCTCTTCCCACTCCTCAGGGCATCCAGTGCCCATCATCCATCACTCCTTGCCAAGTCCTCGTGCCTTTCAGCTCCAGCCACACCTCCGACAGCTGTCAGACCTTCTCAGGGTTCTGTTTTTGGGGTGACACGAGGAGCAGCCCCAAATCACACATCCCCATCCCCCCCTATCTCACTTGTAGGGTTACTACAAACGCACGCCCGCCTACCTGCCCATCCGTAAGCGGGAGCGGCGCGGCTGCTTTGCTGTGCCCATGGTGCACTCCACCTTCCTGCTGGATCTGAGGAAGGAGGCATCCCAGCTGCTCACCTTCTACCCTCCTCACCCCGACTACACCTGGCCCTTCGACGACATCATCGTCTTCGCCTTCTCCTGCAAGCAGGCAGGTGAGCCTCACGCCTCGGCCCGAGCAGAGGGTCGTGTTTGTTCTTAGAGGGAGGGGTGCTGATGCTTGTTGGTGTTCTTAATTGTTTTCTTGCTCACCGTAGAGGTGCAGATGTTTGTTTGCAACAAGGAGGTGTACGGCTTCCTCCCGGTGCCGCTGCGCTCGCACAGCACCCTGCAGGATGAGACAGAGAGCTTCATGCACGTCCTGCTGGAGATCATGGGTGGGTACTGAGCCTAACAATAACACTACCCCCAACCCTGGTACCCTAACCCTAAATCTAACCCTAACCATAACCCTAGTACTCTAACCCTAAATCCTAACCATAACCCCAGTACTCTAACCCTAATACCCTAACCCAAGTACCCTAACCCTAAATCCTAACCCTAACTCTAGTACTCTAACCGTTATACCCTAACCCTAGTACCCTAACCCTAAACCCTAACCCTAACTCTAGTACTCTAACCCTAATACCCTAACCCTAACCCTACTACCCTAACCCTAAATCCTAATCCTAACCCTCACCCTAACCCTAACCCTGATCCTAACCCTAATACCGTAACCCTAACCCTAGTCCCTAACCCTAAACCCCAACCCTAACCCTAACACTACCCTAACCCTAAACGCTAACCCTAACCCTAACCATAGTACCCTAACCCTGAACCCAAATACCCAGACCCTAACCCGAAACCCTAACCCTAATACCCTAACCCTAGCCCTAGTACCCTAACCCTAATCCTAATACTGTAACCCTAACCCTAACCCTAGTACCGTAATCCTAACCCGAACTCTAAACCTAACCCTAGTAATCTAACCCTAACCCTAAACCCAAATCCTAGCCCTATTATTCTAATCCTAACCCTAAACCCTAACCCCTAATCCTAGACCCTAACCCTGAACCCTAAACCCTAACCCTAAAGCTAACCCTAACCCTACCCCAACCCTAAAGATAACCCTAGTACCCTAACCCTAACCCTAGTATCCTAATCCCAACCCTAAACCCCAACCCTAACACTAACCCCACCCTAACCCTAATCCTAGTACCCTAATCCCAACCCTAAACCCCAACCCTAACACTAACCCCACTGTAACCCTAAACCTAACCCTAATACTCTAACATTAATCCTAATACCCTAACCCTAAACCCTAACCCTACCCTGAACCCTAATCCTAACCCTAACCCAGAACCCTAAACCCTAACCCTAACCCAGAACCCTAACCCCTAACCCTAAACCCTAACCCTAACCCTAAAGCTAACCCTAGTACTCTAACCCTAATACCGTAGCCCTAGTACCCTAACCCTAACCCTAAACCCTAACCCTAATCCTAAACCCTAACCCTAGTACCCCAACCCTAACCCTAAACCCTAACCCTACCCTAACCCTAAAGACTAACCCTAACCCTAATCCTAGTACCCTAACCCTGAACCCAAATACCCAAACCGTAACCCTAAACCCTAACCTTAACCCTAATACCCTAACCCTAACCCTAACCCTAGCCCTAGTACCCTAACCCTAATCCTAATACTCTAACCCTAAACCTAACCCTAGTACCCTAACCCTAATCCTAGTACCCTAACCCTAACCCGAACTCTAAACCTAACGCTAGTACCTTAACCCTAATCCTAATACTCTAACCCTAACCCTAGATCCTAACCCTAGCCCTAGTACCCTAAGCCTAAACCCTAAACCGGGCCCTAACCCTAAACCCTAACCCAGTGCTAAACCTAAACCCTAACCCTAGTACCCCAACCCTAACCCTAAACCCTAACCCTACCCTAACCCTGAACACTAACCCTAATCCTAGTACCCTAACCATAACCTGAATACCCTAACCCTAACCCTAAACCCTAACCCCACCCTAACCCTAAACCTAACCCTAGTACTCTAACCCTAACCCTAAACCCTAATCCTAACCCAAACCCTAAGCCCTAACCCAGAACCCTAAACCCTAACCCTAACCCTAACCCTAATACGCTAGCCCTAGTACCCTAACCTTAATACTCTAACCCTAACCCTAGTACCCTAATTACCCTACCCCTAATTACCCTACCCCTAATTACCCTAACCCCTGGGTGGAGGCAGGGCTGGTGACAGGAGGACGGGGAGCACAGCGTGGCCGGAGCTCAGCCCCGAGCACAGCTGGGTGCAAAGGGAGCCGTGTGCCGTGCCACAGGACGCCCAGCAGCTGCATCTGGTAGGGCTCTAGGGTTAGGGTTTAGGGTTTGGCTTAGGGTTTAGGGTTAGGGATTTGGGGAGGCCTCGCTGTCCCTTCTCTCACCCTCTCTGGGTCTCTGCTGCCTCTGCTTGCCCCGCACTGTGAGCCGGGCTGTGCTCCCAGCTCAGAGCTCACCACGCTCCTCCCGTCCTTCGCACCATCGGCTCACAAAGTGCCTCTGTTCGCCCTCCTCAGCACAAAGGTTCTTTGTGGGAAGGCAGAGCTCCCGTTGAACAGCCCCTTTTTCCACCATAGATGTGGGCTGGGTTCCGCAGCCAGCCCTGTCGAGGCTCAGATGCTTCATTTCCAGTTTTCCTTGGCTGGCTGCAGGCTGAGTTGTTCCACGCATTTCCATTGATAGCAGCATCTGTGAGCTGCACTCCAGCCTGTGGTTTTCCTTTCAGACCTCTTTACCAATAGACCAAAAAGCTCTCCTATGGGGAAGAAGAAAAACGTGGGGTGAATAAATGACAGCACAGTGCCACAACCCAATGATCAGCAGTGGAAGCAGCCCCTGTCCCTGCTCAGATAGAATCACAGACTTACAGAATGGCCGGGGTTGGAAGGGACCTCAAGGATGACGAAGCTCCAACCCCCTGCCACATGCAGGGCCACCAACCTCCATGTTTCACAGCAGCCCAGGCTGCCCAGGGCCCCATCCAACCTGGCCCTGAACACCTCCAGGGATGGACGGGGCATCCACAGCCTCTCTGGGCAGCTGTTCCAGCACCTCACCACTTTCATAGCAAAGAATTTCTCCCTGACATCCAACCTCAATCAACTCAAACCATTTCCCCTTGTCCTGCAGTGATCAACCCTATCAAAGAGCTGACTCCCCTCCTGTTTGTAGGCTCCCTTTAGGTGCTGAAGGCTGCAATGATTCACCCCACAGCCTTCTTTTCTCCATGCTGAACAAGCCCAGCTCCCTCAGCCTGTCTTCACAGGGGAGGTGCTGCAGCCCCCTGCTCATCTTCGTGGCTCTCCTCTGGACCCCCTCCAACAGCTCCCCGTCCTTCTTGTCCTGGGGGCTCCAGCCCTGGACGCAGCACTCCAGATGTGGCCTCACAAGAGCAAAGCAGAGGAGGACAATCACCTCCCTGTCCCTGCTGGCCACCCCTGTGCTGATGGAGCCCAGGACCCCGTTTGCTTTCTCACTGCTGCCTCATGTTACACTTTTCATCCATCAGGACCCCCAGGTCCTTCTTTGCAGGGCTGCTCTCAATGACTTCTCCTTCCAGTCTGTATAAATGCCTGGGATTCCTCCTGCCCAAGTACGCAGCGGCTGCGTTGCTTTGTGCCAAACTCTTTCAGGCACATTTTTTGGGGATGGTTTTGGGATCTCTGCTGCTGTCGGAGACGCGGCGGTCACTTCTTTGAAACGAGCAGCAAAGGTGAAGGCATCTCTTTGCTGTTTGCAGTGAAGAACCCTCCTGCAGAGCCCTCGCGGTTCCTCTCCATCCCACCCAAAAACCCCGACAAGATGGGCTTCGATGAGGTGAGTTGAACCTCTGGGGGGACCAAGGGACCCCTCACCCTGTTCTTGGAGGCCGGATGGTGGTACTGCACGACGCACGTCCAGCAGGAGCTTCCCTCCAAGCTGCTTTTCTGCCTCAGGTGTTCATGATCAACCTGAAGCGCCGGGCCGACCGCAGGGAGCGCATGCTGCGCACGCTGCACGAGCAGGAGATCGCCTGCAAGCTCGTGGAGGCAGTGGATGGGAAGTGAGTCTGAAGGAGATGATGCACATTGAATCACAGAATCACTGGGGTTGGGAAAGACCTACAAGATTGTCCCGTCCAACCGTTTGCCCATCACCAGTAGTTCTCAGTAATCCACGCCACTCAACACAAAATCCAAACGTTCCTTGAACACCTCCAGGGTCGGTGACTCCATCACTCCCTGGGCAGCCCATTGCACTGCCTGACCACTCTTTTGGAGCAGTAGTATTTCCTAATGTCCACCCTAAATCTCCCCTGGCGCAGCTTGAAGCCATTCCCTCTAGTTCTATCACTGTTACACGAGAGAAGAGGCCGACCCCCAGCTCACTACAACCTCCCTTCAGGCAGTTATAGAGAGCAATGAGGTCTCCCCTGAGCCTCCTCTTCTCCAGTCTGAACAATCCCAGCTCCTTCAGCCGCTCCTCATAAGACCCCGTTGTGCTCCAGACCCCTCACCGGCTTTGTTGCCCTTCTTTCAACCCGCCCCAGGGCCTCAATGTCTTTCTTGCAGCGAGGGGCCCAAAACTGGACACAGAGCTGAGTCCATGGGGACAATCACTGCCCCATTCCTGGTGTTTCTGATGCAAGCCAGGATGCCATTGGCCTTCTTGGGCACCTGGGCACACTGCTGGCTCACGTTGAGTTGAGCATCAACCAACACCCCCAGGTCCCTTTCCTCTTCACACACATCCAGCCACTCAGCCCCAAGCCTGCAGCGCTGCATGGGGTCGTTGTGGCCAAAGTGCAGGACCCGGCGCTTGGCCTTGTTGAACCTCGTCCCATTGGCTGATCCAACCTGTCCAGATCCCTCTGTAGGGCCTCGCTGAGCTCATGCTGGGTGCTGAGCGTGGTCGTGCTGCTTTGCAGAGCCATGAACAGCAGCGAGGTGGAAGCTCTGGGGATTAAGATGCTGCCAGGCTACAAGGATCCATACCACGGCCGGCCACTCACCAAGGGAGAGCTGGGCTGCTTCCTCAGCCACTACCAGATCTGGAAGGAGGTGAGCAGTGAGAGAAAGCAAGAAGAGGGGAGTTGGGTTGGTTATTGGTTGGGCGTTGTTGGTATTATAGAATCCTAGACTCACCAAGGTTGGAAAAGACCTACAAGATCATCCAGTCTAACGGTCCACCCATCACCAATAGTTCTTGCTAATCCACGTCCCTCAACACAAAATCCAAACGTTCCTTGAACGCCTCCATGGTCGGTGACTCCACCACCTCCCTGTGCAGCCCATTGCACTGCCTGACTGCTCTTTCAGAAAAGTAGTATTTCCTAACATCCAGCCTAAATTGCTGGCAAAAAAAAAAAAACCCAAATCAATCCATTTTCTGCTCAACTTTCAGATTGTTGAGAGAGAGCTGGAGAAGTCGGTGGTGTTCGAGGACGATCTGCGCTTTGAGATCTTCTTCAAGCGGCGCCTGATGAACCTGATGTATGATTTAGAAGAGGAAGGGTTGGACTGGGACCTGATGTAAGTGGCCGAAAGCAGCGTGGGGTTGTGGTTTGGAATCCCAAAATCGCGGTGAGGGCATCCTTCCCCATCAGCAGGGCAGTGGGGTGGTGGTGTTTGTTCCTCACTCGGGTTGCGTCCTGCAGTTACATCGGGAGGAAGAGGATGCAGGTGGAGCATCCCGAGAAGTCGGTGCCACACGTGAGGAATTTGGTGGAGGCTGATTATTCCTACTGGACTTTGGCTTACGTCGTTTCGCTGCGGGGAGCTCGCAAGCTGCTGGCGGCCGAGCCGCTCTCCAAAATGCTGCCTGTCGATGAATTTCTTCCCGTCATGTTCAACAAACATCCTGTGTGAGTCTGAGCTGAGCCATGGGAGGGGCTGGGGGGATATCTGCACGGAGAACAGCGCCTTCCCCATCTTCTGGAGGTGTCCCAGGTCAGGGATGGGGCCTGGAGTGGATGCAGCCCACAGCCGCAGTGGGGCTGGAGGGTTTTGGGTTTCCAACACAGCTGTGCTGTGATCCCGTGGTCCTGTGATCTTCAAGGACCCATCCAAAGCAAGCACTTGCTTGCCATTCTGTGGTTCTGTGATCTTTAAGGACCTTTCCAACCCAAGCTATCCTATGGTTCTGTGATCTTGAAGGACTCTTCCACAACCCAACGCATTCTATGGTTCTTTGATCTTTAAGGTCCCTTCCAGCTCAACCCATTTCATCACTCTATGATCTTGAAGGTCCCCTTCAACCCAACCCATTCAGTGCTTCCATGATCTTTAAGTTCCTTTCCAACCTAATCTATCCCATGGTTCTGTAATCTTGAAGGACCCTTCCAACTCATTTTCTTGTTCTGTGAGTTTGAAGGACCCTTCCAACTCATTTTCTTGTTCTGTGATCTTTAAGGACCTTTCCACAACCGAACTCATTCTGTGGTTTCATCGTCTTCACGGTCCCTTCCAACTCAACTCATTTTATGGTTCTGTGATCTTTAAGGTCCTTCCCAACCCAAGCTATCCTATGGTTCTGTGATCTTGAAGGACCCTTCTGCAACCCAACTCATCTATGGTTCTTTGATCTTTAAGGATCTTTAAAACCCAAGCTATCCTATTGTTCTGTGATCTTGAAGGACCCATCCGGAATTCAATTCAATTCTATGGTTCCGTGATCTTTAAGGACCCTTCCACAACCCAAACCATTCTGCGCTTCTGTAATCTTTAAGATCCCTTCCAGCCCAATCCATTTCATCATCCTGTGATCTTTAAGATCCCTTCCAACCCAAACCATTCTGTCATCCCATGATCTTTAAGGTCCTTTCCAACCTAACCCATTCAATTTTTCCATGATCTTTAAAATCCTTCCAATCCAACCCATTCTTTGTTTCCATGATCTTTAACATCCTTCCAACTCAATCTATCCCATGTTTCCATGGTGTTTAAGATCCCTTCCAACCCAAACCGTTCAATGTTTCCATGATCTTTAAAATCCTTCCAACCCATTCTTTATTTCCATGATTCTTAAGGTCCTTTCAACCCAACCCATTCAATTTTTCCATGATCTTTAAGATCCCTCCAACCCAACCCATTCAATGTTTCCATGATCTTTAAGATCCTTCCAACCCAACCCATTCAATGTTTGCATGATCTTTAAAATCCTTCCTACCCAACCCATTCTTTATTTCCATGATCTTTAAGATCCCTTCCAACGCAATCCATTCTTTGTTTCCATGATCTTTAAAATCCTTCCAACCCATTCTTTATTTCCATGATCCTTAAGGTCCTTTCCAATCCAACCCATTCAGTGTTCCATGATCTTTAAAATTTCTTCCAACCCAACCCATCCCATATTTCCATGATGTTTAAGATCCCTTCCAACCCAAACCGTTCTGTCATCCCATGATCTTTAAGGTCGTTTCCAACCCAACCCATTCTTTGTTTCCATGATCTTTAAGATCCCTCCAACCCAACCCATTTTTTGTTTCCATGATCTTTAACATCCTTCCAGCACAACCCATCCCATATTTCCATGATTTTTAAGATCCCTTCAACCCATTGTTTATTTCCATGATCTTTAAGGTCCTTTTCAATCCAACCCATTCTTTATTTCCATGATGTTTAAGATCCCTTCCAACCCAATCCATTCTTTGTTTCCACAATCTTTAAAATCCTTCCAACCCATTCTTTATTTCCATGATCCTTAAGGTCCTCTCCAACCCAACCCATTCTTTGTTTCCATGATCTTTAAGATCCCTCCAATCCAACCCATTCAATGTTTCCATGATCTTTAAAACCCTTCCAACCCAACTCATTCAATTTTCCATGATGTTTAAGTTCCCTTCCAACCCAACCCATCCCATGCTTCTCCAAAGGAACACGTGGCACACACCCACTCACTTTCCCCTTTTCTGCACCCAGCTCTGACTACATGAAGCACTTCAAGAACCGCAACCTGCTGGCCTTTTCTGTGGAGCCACTGCTGGTTTATCCCACCCACTACACCGGCGACGACGGCTACATCAGCGACACGGAGACCTCGGTGGTGTGGGACAACGAGAAGATCAAGACGGACTGGGATCGAGCCAAGTCCCAGAAGATGAAAGAGCAGCAGGAGCTGCGCCGAGAGGCCAAGAACTCAGACGTGCTGCAGTCTCCCCTTGACAGCACGGCAAGGGACGAGCTATGACGTCCATGTCACCTCCGTGTGTGGCTTTTGTCACTTCCATGTGGGGCCTTGGCCAACATTTCACCTTTGGTCACTATTTGGGGCCTTGACTGCCAATATGGGGCTTGGCGAGAGCCACCAGTTTGGGGCTTTGGCTGCCATTTTGGGGGCTTCGGTTGACATTTCAGGGCTTTGGTTACCATTTGGGGCCTTGGCTGCCATCTTGGGGCTTGGCAGGAGCCACTATTTTGGGGCCTTGGTTGGCATTTTGGGGTCTTGGCCAAACCTCTTTTGTGACCTTAGCCAACATTTCACCTTCGGTCACCATTTGGAGCCTTGGCTGCCATTTTGGGGGTGGCGAGAACCACCATTTTGGGGCTTTGGTTGACATTTTGGGGCTTGGCAAGAGCCACCACTTTGGGCTTTGGCCAAACCTTTTTTTGGGGCTTGGCCAACATTTCACCTTCGGTCACCATTTCGGGCCTTCGCTGCCAATATGGGGCTTGGCAAGAGCCACCATTTTGGGGTTTTGGCCAACATTTTGGGGCCTTGGCCAAACCTCTTTTGGGGCCTTGGCCAACATTTCACCTTCGGTCACCATTTGGGGCCATGGTTGCCATTTTGGGGGTGGCGAGAGCCACTATTCTGGGGCTTTGGCTACCAATTTCGGGCTTTGGCCAAACCTCTTTTTGGGGCTTTGCCAACATTTCAGCTTTGGTCACCATTTGGAGCCTTGGCTGCCATTTTGGGGCTTGACAGGAGCCATCATTTTGGGGCCTTGGCCAACATTTTGCCTTCAGTCACCATTTGGGGCCTTGGCTGCCATTTTGGGAGTGATGAGAACCACCATTTTGGGCTTTGGTTGACATTTTGGGGCCTTGGCCAACATTTTGCCTTCAGTCACCATTTAGAGCCTTGGCTGCCATTTTGGGGCTTGGCAAGAGCCACCATTTTGGGGCTTTGGCCAAACCTTTTTTTGGGGCTTTGGTCAAACCTTTTTTTGGGACTTGGTCAACATTTCACCTTTGGTCACCATTTGGGGCCTTGGCTGCCATTCTGGGGCTTGGCAAGAGCCACCATTTTGGGGTTTGGCAGGAGCCGCCATTTTGGGGCCTTGGTTGACATTTTGGGGTCTTGGCCAAACCTTTTTTGGGGGTGTGGCCAACTTCGGTCACCATTTGGGGCCTTGGCCACCATTTTTGGGCTTGGCAAGAGCCGCCATTTTGGGGCCTTGGCCAACATTTCAGCTTCGGTCACCATTTGGGGCCCTGGCTGCCATTTGGGGGGCTTGGTAAAAGCTGCCATTTGGGGCCTTGGCCGCCATTTTGGGGCCTTGTCCAAACCTTTTTTGGAGGCTTTGCCAACATTTCACTTTCGGTCACCATTTGGAGCCTTGGCCGCCATTTTGGGGCTCGACAGGAGCCGCCATTTTGGGGCCTTGGCCAACATTTCTCCTTCAGTCACTGTTTGGGGCCTTGGCTGCCATTTGGGGGCTTGGTAAAAGCCGCCATTTTGGGCCTTGGCCGCCATTTTGGGGCCTTGTCCAAAGCTCTTTTAGGGCCTCATTCACCTTCAGTTCGGCTCCTTTGTGCCTTGGCCGCCATCTTGGGCCGTGAGGAGCCGGCCGGGCTCACGGTGCTCCTGGGCCGAGGCCCTGCTGCGTTGTCAACCAAAGCTCTGCGGTTGTTTCGTTTCGTTTGGGGTTATTTTTTTAAGGGAGAAAAAAAAAAAAAGGTTCTTTTGGAAACGGATCGTCCTTGCGGCAAGCGGGCCTGCGGTCTGAGGCCACAGCCGCACTGCGCATGCGCGGACACCTCAGAGCAGCTGAGGGGCGCATGCGCGGACCGCTTTAGTAGCTAATCTGCGCATGCGCGGGTCCCTCAGAGCGGCTGATCAGCGCATGCGCAAGCCTCATAGAACGGCTAATCTGCGCATGCGTAGGTTCCCTCTGAGCGGCTAGCTGGTGCATGTGCTGATTGCCTTTTAGAGCGGCTGATCGGCGCATGCGCGACCGCCCCCCCCCCGTGGCATGCTGGGAGATTAGCCTCGGGCACGACGGCCATATTGAGAGCGCGGCATGCTGGGAAATGTAGTTCTCGGGTGCAATCCCCCCCCCACCAAAATTCGACACCGGGGAGGCCAAACACGAAGCAGGGTGGGGGGGGGGGAGGAACCGTTCTTTATTGCCCGCTGCCCCCCCGGCTCAGTCGGCAGCGTTTTCTCCCCCTACAGCCCCCC